CGCAGATTTCTTCACCTCTTTCTAATAACTCTGAGAGAAAAATCATGCACTTTATGAGTACCCAAAAACTTATCTGGAATTCATTGGGAGTTTTCGGCACAAAAGGAATGGAGGATGGGATTATATATTATGACCACTGAATTTTAAAATCTAATTCAATTTTTACCATGTACAAGATAATGCTGGTTTATTTGTTACAGAAATTGCTGCTCTTATGGGGGAAGCAGAACTGAGAAATGGACTCTACAGTCAGCAGTTGTCGTCTGACCCCACCATTAGCACCAGTAGGGAGTCTCAGCTTGACTCACATTTAGACAGCTTTTACATCATCACCTCTGTCTTCTGAAATAGAAAGTGACCTCATCTTGGGAATATCACCAAGACAACCCTCCCCTGTTGCTGACATAGTTTACATTGTGGCAGCACATCTCAAACCTCCAGGAATCAAGGTTCTACTGTGTAAGGTACTGTATGAATTTATGATAAAAATACCCTATAGGTATATTTAAAGATGTGTATGCACACAATATACGCTGCATATACCAAATGCTGCATATACAAAGTACACATTGCAAATGAAAATTCTCTCCATTTACAAGGAACAGACCACTACTCAAACAACTGTGTTCCAGGTATGCCCTTTCATAGACCATTTTGCAATTTCTTGTCCATAAACACTCAAGGGCTAATCTCATAAACTCCCTGAAATCTGGACCCTGAAAAACTATCACTATCCCAAATCCCAGGTGACACCAGAAAAGTAAGACATGGCCAAAACAAAGCCACACCATAGAGTTATACTATCAATCATCTAAAACTAATTTTCCTATTAAGACCTTTATCATCATCAACATATGCAATGGAAAATAAAACCCAACTTCCTGCTGATGACAATGACTAAGCACAGATAGTCAAAAAGCCCGAGGCAGAATTGATTCAATCTTCACAGACTACTACCCTGAGTAGACTTAACTGATAAGGAAATGAATAGACATTCAACTTTGATTTTAGAAATGCGCCACATGCCTGCTGTGGCTCAGGCCAGAAGCCAGAGGGAACTAGAGCACACCTCTCTGTTTGGTTGGAACAGACAGCTTGGGACAAGGCTAGCCTGCCCACCCTGCGAGAGAGGGAGGGGATTCAGGGAAGGTGCAAAACATCTTGGTATGCTGGGGGAATGTGAGTTGACTTGAACCTGGAAGGGATCTTTGACAGAAGTTTAATAAACTGATTTAATCTAAATCAGTTAAGTCTGATACTACATCTATCCAGGTTTATCTTAAACTGGTTTCAGCCATTTTGAAAGTCATTTATGTGCACTGAATTTCTGTTGTGTAACAGACTTGAACCCATTTCTTATCACTTATCGCAGTTTATACGTAATTTCTGTCCCTAGCCTATGAGATTAGCTGTCAACAAAATTAGTCTGATCTGACTGCAGAAGTAAACTTGTCTGCATCACTGACACATAACTTCAGCTACGCCTCCATTAATGGGGAGGAAATGGGCACTGCAGAAATGCTGATGTATATTAAGTTCACTTTGCTTGAACAACAAACATAAATCAAGTTCACTTACATTTTAAATCATTTTCACTTTCCAGTTCTTTTACATAATAAGATGCTGTAATGTTCCAATTGCAAACAAGTGAATATTACCTTTCAAAAATATTTTCTCTGCTGATTTTCATTAACATTTTAAGAAAAGTGGATACAATTCCATTTATTCCATTCCCTGAGGTCTTTACCTCAATACTTAATTCAAAGAACTTTCATAGATCACAGCGATAACAACGGATTTAAATCAGAGAACAAGTGTAAGGATATACATCCCTCAGAAAACCTAAATGTTGACAATGTCCCTTTACTTACAAATGTAGACAATAAAAATAAAATATAAGCTATTAATGAATTTCCATGTGTACAATTAAAGACAAAATCCTATGTGTTAAAATATTTTTTTACAATCACATCAAACTTCACACATTGCTGAATTTTACAATTATCTAGCTTATTAATCAACAGTACACATATTTGTTTTTCACTACCGTGAACAATACATGTTATACTATATAATCAGTTGAACTGTAATTTGTGTATGTTTGTGTCAAAATGTTGATGAATTAAATAAAAATGATAAAGGAAATACAGTACACAGAAAACTGGGGTACATGCATGTGTACACACAAACAGAAATCACCTTGATCCTTCTCTGTAGTTGCTAAAATATAAAAAAAAGAAAATGAAGAAAAAATCAGATAAAAATAAGGTACTTAATTTAACTTCATTTAAGTACAACAAACATCAGACAACATAGTTCAATGTTTTGTCCATTTAAAATGCTTATGTGCTACTCGTATCTGACTATACTTTGAGAACAATTCTCTTTCTGGTTTATGCCCATGGAGTCAGCCTGAATATACGTCACATACTCTGAGAAGCTGGTGAAATGAATAATAGTAAAAACTGGATAAGGCTATTACTGTTGTTATAACCATCCTTGTGGATTTAATCTGTACTTGATCATCGTTAGTTTAAAGCCAGTATCACCACTGAACATTGTACATGTAGTAGATTGACTTCTGAGAGAGTGAGGGGAAGTTACTGACTAGAGAAATAGTCACAGATTTGGTATCTAGAGAAATATTCGGGAACTAGAGAAATATTCACAGATTTGGGATCAGGCCCAATTCCAATATGATAATTACATCTGAGATTTTTAGGCATATTTTAGACAATACTTAGATACTTCTGATGTGGTACAACTAATAAAAAATGGCTAATGATTATAAGGAGACAGAAGTCAATTTCAGGGTGCAAAGTCTAGAATCAACACAGAAATAACGTATCTGCCAATAAGATTTTGGCTTATGAAACCTCAGTACTAGAAGAGAGGGATACAGACCTTTTTAAAACTGAAAGTTGGTAACTAAGGGTTTTTTTTTTTTTTTAAACTTATGAAGCTGGAGCCTTTTACCTCCAATAGCATTCTACTTCATTTTTAAGGTGGTATGTCTTCTTGAGGCAAGTACACTTGAAAAAAGAATTTTAAGACTGACTTTTGACATGGGGCTTACTATTACATGTCTGTATATCCACTTGGAGAAATTTATTTATGCATCAGGTAGGTAGCAGTGGCTTGATAAAACACAGAAAAAATCCCTTCAGTTAAAATACCTATGAGGCCAAATTCCTGCAATTTCAGTTTTACTTCAGCAACTACAAGCATGCTTTGAAGTGCAGAATTTGGTCTTTTACTTTGCATCATTTGCAGAGGTGTAGCTAGCTATTTCATCACCCAGGAATGGGTTGGGGGTAGGAAAGGTGGCAGTCTTCCCTGACTCACTGTACTCTGGCTGCTGCCGCTCAATGTGTTGTGGAATTGGTTCAGACTGCTGCAGCTACAGAACTGGCTCCCTGCACACCAGCTGCAGCACCCTTCAGTGGCAGATTCCTTTGGTGCCACCCTCTAAATCCATGCATAGGACTAGCGCCATGCTCCCCTACACCTGGTCACACTAACGATAAATGCACTCCTACACTTTTCCAGAATAAAATTTGGAACATCCGTGCAATGTTGTATTATTTGTTCCGTTTCTCTTTCAGTGCTCCCGCAACCTAACTATACATCCAGCTATGGTTATCTTTCTAAATTATTTCTATTTTATTCCAACAGGCTTACTAAATGTTCAAGATAATTTAAGAGCAAAAATCCCAATTACAAATGTGAAAAATAAAATCTGAGAGACAAAAGGTATCTTTGCTTTCTTGTTTTCCAGAAAAGATCCAATATTCATCCTTCTTTCTTTAACACAACATGATATCATAATTAATTATGTTAAACTGGTTACTAAGGTAGTTTCATGTTGTTACTCCCATGATATAATATCGGTTGCTATAGTGATGAGATGGCTTTTTGTTAATCACTCGTGAGATTGGTTAACTCATGTTTGTCAGTGACTTTGACCAGAGCTGGAATAAGACAAAAAGTGGATTTTATAACACTACTAAACACATCACCCTCCTTCATATCTATGGGGTTTGATGTTATGACTTTATTTAATTCCAGTGTATTACCAGAAATAAATTCTACCAAAACAGAATGTTATGTTAACAATAACATGGAATTTTTAAGCCAACGTCATGTTCTGTTTCCTGTAATCTGACACACATTTACGGTTTATATTAAAAATATATATATTTATGCAGGATTTACTATTTCTAGAATTTAAATCTGTATCACTATATTACACTGTTATATGCTTTCTGGAAAATAATTATTGCATTTGAATACTGTCAAATTATTTTATTGTTAGCATACTTTACTGTTTTTCAGAATTTTTACAATATTACAATAACCTTTATATAATAAAATACTGATTTCCTAGCAACAACCCTGATTAATCTCATTTTCCAGAATATATATAAATTATAAATATAGAAAAAACTCATATTATCATTAAAGCTATTTGCTGTTAGTATATTTATAATAATTAAAAGGCCATTGAGGTTTTATCAGTCTTTGATTATATCTTACAATATATACCAGTAACTTTTCCATCTCTGAACAATGACAACTCAACAAGCAAAAATTGTATTTATGTGCCTGACTAAGGTATTCAAAAGACATCTCTTGCCTTGATTTCCAAATTTCATGGTGCTGATTAGGAAAGAATGCACTGTCAATAGTTTATTAGGAATATTTAGAGAAAGTAAAAATTAGCCATAAGCACATTTATATTTGATAAAAATTCAAAATAAGAACAAAAGACAACTTAAACATAAGGTCTGGATATTTCGTTCAAGCAGGTTCCCAGGAGGCATATTAAAGCAATGAATAGGAAAAAGCTCTATAGTTCACCAGCTGAGATTTTAATGAGACATTTCCCCTTGCTGTGGTACAGGTTTGTTCAGGAAAGGGAAAAGGCTGCTCACAGAATATTCAGTTAATAGGCACTGTTGGCTTTTACAGTCACTTTGGCAGTTGATCACTATACTCACCTTCTATTTTGGCATATTCTGTAAGTCGAGTGTAATTGATCAAGGCAGCTTTCTCCAGACATTTTCTGACCACTTTCTTCACCTCTTCTGCTGGTATGGGAGTGGCAATATCTTTCATTAAAACCTGTGCCAGAGAATCATATTACTTGGCTGCACATTACCCAAAGCTCCAGAGCATAATTTGAATTTAATAACTATTTTAGATCTGCTAAAAATTAAAGTAAAAAATCAAAGAGGAATAATTTCAATCAGTGGTCCAGTTAGTTAATAAAGTAGGTATTTGTTTCTAGAGGTTTGAGTTCTAACTTCGTTTTGGTGGTTGTGTTAGTCTAGGGGTGGGGAGTTATTTTGGGCAGAGGGCTGCTTACCGAGTTTTGGCAAGCCATCGAGGGCCGCATAACAGGCAGCCCAGGGCAGATTAATATTAATTTTCTAAATTTTTTAAGGGCCCTGTGGGCCGGATACAAATGGCCTGGCGGGCCGCATCCAGCCTCCAGGCCGCATTTTGCCCACTCCTATGTTAGTTTGATGGTTTCACCTTTATCCTAATCTACAGAAGTTATAAGATCATATCTACAATTTGACACCATTCAGCGTGATTGTCAGTCTCTGAGTGAGAACCAAGAATGGAATACCAGAAGTCCTGAGGTCTAGATTAAACTACAGCTAGAGATAGGGATAGCACCATTTTCATGTGACTCTTTTTGTATTACGTTCAGTTCTTAGTGGTGAAATGAACCCCACAATTTCATGAACATTAAATCAACTGGCAATTTTAAAAAGGAAGAAAAAAACACTATCCAGACTTATCATCACTGATTATTTTTCTTCCTGCATACAGTTATTAAAATTCAGCAGAACGTACTTGTTCAAAAGGATTAGCTATTTAGGCAGAGTACCAGAGTTTTCCTAAAATATTTTATTATGGTAAGCTAGAAGGCTAGGTCATAAAAACACTTTAACATTTTAAATATTTATTTTTTAAATCTACTAATCTGTAAAAATCTTCCAGTTTGACCTTTTGGAAGTTAATGGAATTTAGCCATTGGCTTCAATTGAATCAGAATGTCCCTTGAATTTTTAAAGTTATGTTGGCCTCTACTAGTTTAAATTTAAATAAAACATGTCAAACTTACAAAAATGCTATTTATATTTTGTAATCTAAATATTGCAAATAAAGATTTAAAGTTTGACAAATTAATTACTTTTTTAATCACAATGAATTGCTGACTAAAATGTCAATACTGCTTTGAAAAAACTCAAGACTCAATTAAAATGAGGCAAGTTGGACCCAGATAATTTAATCTGTAACTTTAAAAATAAATTTTTTGCATAATACCAAGGGACTCGTATGTACCCAAGTCTCCAACAGTGTATTTAATAATGCAATAGAGGTAATGCATATTAATATTTTACTTTTATGGGTAATTTAGCTATTAGTTTTCTTTTCTTGTTTTTTGACTATCCACACAGGTGTACCAAAATTCAATTTGATTTTATACAAATATGTTTATTCTACACTTGAATTCAAGAGTCTAAACCAGAAAGGAAGAGCCACAATGTTTACAGGTAAGTATAATAAAAGGATGCTCACAGATATAGGAAGGCACATTTTCCCTAATTCAACTTGGCCCTTTGCAACTGTAGCAGCACAAATAGAAATATTAGCTCCACAAAAATGATGTCTACATATATGGCAATATATTAAATGAAATCAGATTTAAAACCAAATATACAGAATTGGTCACCCAATAGTGTATAGGCCCTGGCAGAATTTTGCAATAGCACAAAATGGCTGTCACTTCCCCTTTTTTGGATGCATCAGGCATCAGACCAGTACCATCCAAAGGCTGGACAGTGCTACAGAGCATGGGATAACTGTCTAGAAAAGACAGAATATCTTGCTTTAGCTCACCCTCTTAGTAGTCTCCTGGACTTTAAAGCTCCTCATTCACAAGGGAGCATAAATGCTGTTAGTATTGTCTGCCCTCCGCAGGAGCTAGTTCTGGGGAATTTATTGTAGCCAAGTTTTATTTATATGTTGCATTTATATTCCCTTGTCAATTTAGATAAATCTAAACTTTTTCTTTATAAATTGAATCAAATTTTGATTTTCCAGTGTGTTTATTTAGATTATATGGATATTTTTAAAGTTATAGTTCAAGATATAATCATAACATTTTGTGACCATAATAATCAAATGATAAAGACACAGGGAACCTTTGAAATGACTTAAGAGAAAGTTCTGGTAAATATACTTTATTATTTGACTTTGTCAATTATTTAGCATGTAATAAAACCACTAGTATGGTATCTTAGCGGATATTCCTTCTAGCTCAATAATAAACGAACATACAGATGAAATATCCTAGAGTTAAAATAAACTAAAAAGACATACCCTTTCAAGTAATGAAAGTGTAGCTTTTAAAGCTCCTTCAGGACGTCCAAATGGAAAACAGTATCTTAAAAACAAAAACAGGATAAATTATCCAGAGTGTAATATCTAAGTTAAGAATGTAAGCGTAATGGGTATATATTATCCCACTACTCCTTAATTTGCATTATTGGAAGGGACATATATACTGAACACTGATAAATGATTCTTTTATATTTTTTCACAAATCCAATATGGAGGACCGAAATAAGGACATCAGAGCACTTGTTGCTCGGCCCGAAGGACAGGAAAGTGCAAAAGGCAAGAAGAAATTAGCCCAGTGACTGAATAGTGGAGGATATCTACAAACAGCTGTGGGTTTTATTAGACTGCTTCCATCTTGCTGAAAAGGCGAGTCATTTCTGACCTTAACACCTTAAGAATCTCTGTAAGAAAATGAGGCTTATTATAAGGCTCACTCTACCTCTTTATACTCTGTTTTAGTATTGATTTAACAATGGAAGGAAACTGCATAAATGGGTGCAAATTACCTTTTTGGGGGGTTTAACGAAATCATTTATCATTAGAACACATTTTATTTTGGCTTAAATTGTAAATTCTACCAGACATAAACCTTATTGCCTTTTGTGTCCTGTACAGCACTTACAGTCTTTAACTACTAAAAGAATAACAATACCAAAAATGCAAAAGATGAAACAAAATAAACTAACGTGCTGCCACTCCTACAAGCTGTAGAGCTCATTCTAAAACTCTCTTAATCCTATCTGTGAAGCTTGCTGGGATAGCCCCAATTGAAAAAGGGATTTTCTACTTTGTTGAGGTTATTTGTATGTGACTGTTTATTATTACTAATAAAAATGGTAGTCCTATTTTCTAACATTTTTCCAATAACAATTGGATTTAGAGTGATGAGTTTTACAAATCACTTTGACTGACATTATAGATCCTTGTAAATGAGGTCAGACAAATCATTTTAGCAGACATAGCACTGATTTATGACCTGCTTTATTTTGCTTGCTTATTCTGTGTTAGTAACTCTTAGTGGGCATTAATAAATTAGCAAAACAGATTTAATCAACTTGTACTTCCTTAGTCTTAATCCATCTATAAATAAAATACAAAACTTGGCTGCTTTATTTGCCTCCTCCAGCCTCCTCAGTGTATTTGCATAATCCATGTATTGTCTTTCCTATTATTTACTCCTATTAACCCGTAGGTGACACAGTTCATGCATAAATGCCACTGATCCCTAGATAACATTTAGCATTTCAAATCATGAGGTCCCACTGGGTATGTCCTAAAGTGTTGCTACTTTCATATATGTAAATAATGTAATGAACTTTTAAAGTACACACAATCCTGAGCCAATGCTATAAACTAAGTAAGTATACAGAGCCCTAATTAACATTTACAATTCTCTATTACTACAGCCACTAAAGTTAAGATCTACTAAGCATTTTACATTACAACTACCTATTTTCACACATTCATACTTTCTGCAAATACCTAATAGGCTTCATTGCTGCATACTATGTGTCTGACCAAATGATAACTTTTTAGGAAACTGGAAACAAAAATTATGGCTATTTCTGAGTTACAGTGGAGTAAAAATAAAGAGCAGTAAGGTTACCTGCCATACAGAACTATTATTTTCCAAGATTAGCTGTCTATACAGACTCCCTCTTGGTATGCATGAGTCCTATACATGCAAGATTGGATTCTTTCAATCAGCAGTGTCTATTCAGGCCAAACCCAAATCCTAGATGACCTTGTGCCTTCCCATGAGGGGGCAGAAATTCCACAGGAAGCCCAATCTGTTCTTTCACCAACACAACACCTGAGAACAGCAGGATGCCATTCTTGTCAACCCAAATAATGTGGACAAAGCACAAGAGTCCATGTGGCAAACATGTTTAAGAATCAAAGGTACTGTAAAGTACATAACTTTTCTTCCTTTTTTGAATGACTGTCCACATGGTTTCCATTGCTAGTAACTAGAAGACAGTTATCAAATAGGGGCTGGGGTAATGTAGGCATTAAGGTGCATAGTTGACAGCCCAGAGGTTGAAGTTTGAGGAGCAGCCCTGTCAGGTTCCAACAGATCCTTGAATTTTGCTAAATACCTAGTCACGAGGACACAAAAAAGGAAAGAAAAGGGGTATACCAAGGGACAGGACCGGAAATGGATAGAATAGCTCTTGTTTACAGTTTCCAGGGCCCAACAGCCAGAGATGATCCAATTCCAGAGTGAAAAGTAGAAATAAATGATCTTTGAGAGCTCCTGTGACACTAGTCCCTGATGCACGATAAGACTCAAAGTGAAGGGCAGAAAAGGATGCAGAGATTCATCATTAATAGAACGTTTTCTTCTCTTTCACTGGCTCTGAAGTCCCTTAAGACTAGTTAAAGTAATGAACAGAAGAACACTGCCTGGAGGTAGCCTGAAATTTTGTTTGTTTCTTTCTTGGGGCTGAAACAAGGAGGATAGGAGAATTTACAGTTGCCTTGGGAGTCCCTTAAGAAATGGAAAGCCTCATTCATCTGGAATTTTAAAAAAGTTTATTGCTGTCAGAGGGAAGGTCTTTTGTAACTGTTTGAGCTGTCTGAACCTCTCTGGGAATTCCTGAAGATTGAGGCAGGAAGCCCACCACTGTAGGCATTGCTCTATCAGATGTAAAGGCTACCAAATGCTCCCTGCATCCTTGCGTATGATGGTCTTTATGTACTCTGTTCTGTTGATCCCAATTTAAGTTATCACAATCAGGACAGAAACACTTATCAATTAGTAATGGCAAACAGTGTATTTGAACAGTTCTAGTCTCCCTCTCTCTGTACAGATTGAGCACCCCTCTGTTCCTTCAACCTTTCCTGGACCATAGCTCCCACACAAGACCCCTGTATGGAAATAAAGATATCTATGTCTCTTGGAAGAGACATCAAAGATATCTATATCTCTGATACCTGTTGTAAGCTTGCCTGGATGTAACCAGAGGTTGCTGGCATGGTCACAGGTCTCCTGCGGGTCCCAACAGAACTTTAATTTCAACAACAGTAAGCCATCATGTACAGAGGAGTGCAAGATATTTATGGCATAGAAGAGTCCAAGGTGGGCAGCAGTTTGTGAGCTTTTTCCTGCATTTGTTCCAGGGGTATTCTCAAGAGTCTCTGTCACACACGCTTGATAAAACTGTTGTAAAGCCATCAACTGAGCAAAGTCCTGAGGAACTTACTGCCTTGGTGAAAGAGGATAAGACTAAGTCAGCAGAGATGAGCTGCTCTTTCTTTTGCCACTTTCTTCCTTTTGTCTTTCTAGAATCTCAAGCCTAGCTGATCTGGCTGTATTGTATTATATTCTCTCTTTGAGGAGCGTAATCTGAAAAAAGCAGGGCAGGGGTGAATATGTAGGCTGTAAGCACTAGTAGAGCCAAGACTGATAAAAGAACAGAAACGCATGGATGGGTACTAGGAAGGATGTTCCTGCTAAGTCCCTGTTGTCTCAACCTTACTTCAGCTGTTGGATATTAAAACTTAAGTGTCTAAGAAGTGGTCTGATTTCTAGAGGTGCTGAGTACCTAAGGCTCCCATAGATTTCATTAATGAATTTAAGTACCTAACTCTGGGGTCCCAAGTGAAATATTTTGGCCGATGTTCTAACTGTTCTGAAATATTCCCAATACTGATTAGATGACAGAGGGAACAAATCCTATCCACTTCTGTCTCTTCCACCCTTCTTTAAGTTTTAAGAATACGATATTTTCTGCCATTATCATCATCACCTGTACACCTGATGATATGGAGGTCTAAAATTTGCTAAAACAAGGTATTTCCAGTATAAGGATGTATTCAGCCTCCAGGGGGCTGAAATCCATCAGCAGGTGGTTAGCAGTTAATAAGGTTAATAGTCTGCCTTGCTGGAAGGCTGCAACTGATGACTAGAAAATGGGGATGGAGTCATAAAGAGAGTTAAAAGCTCCAGAAAAGGGCAAGGGGGAGAGGAGGTGGTGGTGCTGGAGGAGAAGAACAGAGCCGGGGTTACGCCTTGCAAAGTCTGAACTAAAGAAGATCACAGGTTTGGTTTTGTCTTTTGTAGGTTTGCTTGTTTTGTTTACTGTGGGGACAAGGTTGCCCCATGTAAAATAAATTGGCTAGAAATCCTGAACATGGTGCCGACTAGCCTTGATAATGAAGCTGAGTTATCTGCTTGCACAAGAAACAAAACTTGGTTTACAGTTGATCTTAGTTTTACATGAAGCTTTGATGCCACTTAAAAACAAATCTAACTACACAGACAAGGCCTTTCCTTGCAACACTAACAACAAAGAGCTGTGCCTATATTAGGTAGCTACCTTTGGAGCACACATGCGTTGTTTCTTTACTTTTCCTGTATACTACAAAAATGTCCCACCGTAGCATCTTGTAGACATCATAAGTATGGAGCAAGACAAGGGAACAAGCTGGGAATAGGCTGACAAAGGGACACTGAATGCATGTTTATCTAGATACAGTGGTGCTAACTGCCCATGGAAGAAGCAAAGAGAGGCTATGGTCTCTCAGTCAAACACCAAAGAGCAGCCCTCAAGACACTACACTTCAGCACTCCAATCCTGACTTCAAAAAGCAGTTGTTGGCTGCTGACCTGCCTTATGTTGTATGGATGTAAAAAAAGATTGTTTTGATTTTATGCAAATGAAGACAATTTTGCCTACAGGACCGTATAAACTCCAAAGGGCCTTCAGCTGATGTTTGCGCAGAATAAGGTGGTCAACATCATGTAGGCATAGGCCCAAAGCTCCCCTCTTTTTCCCATTTCATCAGATTCAGAGGATGCATTTTGCCATGTGGTAGAGGAGAGGCTGCAGTGCTTTGCTGAAGCTGGGTGAGCGTGCTACTAAACAGAACTCTTTTAAGCATGTGGGTCAATGATCTGGAAACCACTGAGCTACAGAAAAGTCTACCTCTTCTGAGAAGGGTGTCATCCTGTCAGAAGAATCCTTGGTCTGCTGTGTTCTCACCACCTTGTTAGGGGATAAAGTCAGTATGAGAGATATACCTTCTTCATCCACTGTACCAATAAACTCAGTAGCTGGTGGTTCATTATCACTACTCCTGTTGTCTCAAAAGAAAGGGAATCTAGACCTTCATCATTCACATATATCTAGGCCCACATCAAGACCCAAATCACTTGGTACACTATGTTTGAATACTTGACATATGTACCAATACTTGACAACATTCTAGACATTGAGGGACATCATTTTGAATTGCCTATCCTGAAGCACTGGGAAGCAAAGGATGAATTTTAAGATGTGAGTTTTGAGGTTCAGTAGTTGTTGTCAGTACCTTTTCAGCTGTCAAGGTCACCAGATACCTCCTTAGGCTACTAGTTGCCTCACAAATGTTAGCCCCTGAAAAGTCAGACTTAATAAGTCTCATGCCTTAACTGAATAGGCACTGAAGATACGACCAATGCCTCAGCTCTGTTCTGGAACGTTGCTGCTTCCTACCTCTGTTAAGTGGTAATCAGTACCAGAGTGGAAGTGGTCTTCTTGGTCAGTGTAGCTTGAAGCTCCTTATTAGGACCCTCATGGAGAAAGATTAATTAAAGGACTGATGTCCTTTTTTTTTGTTATTTATGAAGCTTGCACAGATTGTTCCAGTGGAGCAATTAAGTAGGCTTTTCTGCCTTTTTGAACATGCTTGGAAAATGACTGTCATGCAGTATGTCAGTCAGGAATGTATGTCCCTTTAAGAAACAAAATAGGGACCTGGAGGGTGCACCTACACATGAAATCAATGCAACACAATAAATTCTGGAGCAAATGTCACTGAAGTTTACATGTGCATCTGGGACCGCAGTACCTTGACCCGGGGCAGGGCAGCCCCAGTTGGCAGGGGTTCAGGGGGTCAGTCTGCCAGCCTGGGGTTGTTCCGACCCAGCTCAATGTACTGCAGAGGATCTGACTGGGACACAAGGATGTGGGGCTAGCTGGCAGGCAGCCCCTCCACTGAAGCACCCTTGGGCTCCAGCCAGCCCTATCGGCATTTACATGTGTATTGCTGCGCACTAAATAATGCCACTGTAGGATAGTGCTTGTGTCTACTATGGACTTAATTAGTTTACTGCAGCCTAATAGGGCTGCATGTGTAGACACCGAGACTTTACTGTGGAGCTAATTAGGCAGCTCTGCAGTAAACATCTCATGTAGATGCACCCAGATTGTCCATTGTTAAGTGAGAGCAAAATTTCACCAGATTGTCTATTGTTAAGTGAAAGCAAAACTAGCTTGGTCAGGGGAAGGGGAAGAGGAGGGCAGCGGAAGCCTTGGACCACTAAACCAAGCATCACCCACAAGAACAGCCCAGCCTAGACCGATGACAAGGAGAACAAATACCCAGGTAAGCAACAGGGACCCAGGTAGTACTGGGATTGGGGGGGGGCTATGCATGCATCTTCAGCAGGCCTCAAATGCCTGTACACTAATGCTTGTAGTATGGGGAACAAGGAGGAGGAACTTACCTTCCTGCTAGCTAACACTAACCCAGACATAGTGAGGCTCACTGAAACATGGTGGGACCCAATGCATGACTGGGTGGTGAATATCAAGGGTTATAGGCTGTACAGGAGGGATAGGGCAGGGGGGAAAGGTGGGTGAGTGGTGCTGTACGTCAAGGAGAAATACACATCCTCAACGAGTAGCACTGGGTCAGAGGAGGGGCACACTGAAGTGCTCTGGGTTAGAATAGTAGGAGGTCGATGGGAAAGGGACTTAATGGTGGGGGTCTACTACAGACCACCCAACCAGGGAGAAGACCTAGACCTGGAATTCTTAAGTCAGCTCATGGAGGCAGTTAGGTCAAAGGATGTGGTCATCATGGGTGACCTACACTTTCCAGACATCTGCTGGGAAGAGCAGTCACCCAGGTCTGACTGCTCACGTAGGTTCCTAGCTGAGATACAGGACCTCCATCTAACCCAAGAGGTGCACGGTCCCACCAGGGGAAATGCCTTGTTGGACCTGGTTCTGGCCACGGGCGACTACCTGGTGAGGGGTCTGTGGGTGCTTGATCACCTGGGTGACAGTGATCATCACCTGCTGGAATTTACCATCCAGTGCAAAGTGGCAAAGGCCTGCAGCAAGGCAGCAGCCCTGGACTTCAGGAGGGGTGTGGACAACACGGAGAGGGTCCAGAGGAGGGCCACCCACATGATCAGGGGCCAGCAGAGCAGGCCCTATGAGGAGAAGCTATGGGACCTGAACCTATTCAGCCTCCACGAGAGAAGGCCAAAGGGGGATCTAGTGGCTTGTTACAAACTAGCCAGAGGGGACCAGCAGGCATTGGGAGAGTCCCTGTTCCCCCGAGAGCTACCAGGAGTGAAAAGAAATAACGGTCACAAGCTGGCAGAGGGTAGATTCAAGCTAGACATCAGGAGGTGCTACTTCACTGTCAGGGCGGCTAGGATCTGGAACCAACTTCCAAGAGAAGTGGTGCTGGCTCCTACTCCGGGGGTCTTCAAAAGGAGGTTAGATGAACACCTTGCCGGGGTCGTTTGTCCCCAGTACTCGTTCCTGCCATGGCAGGGGGTCAGACTTAATGATCTGCTCAGGTCCCTTCCGACCCTACCAACTATTAAACTATGAAACCAGCTTTTAAACCCCAGATCCTTTCTGTTGCCAAGTTGCCATAGTTGCCAGAGAGATTAAATTAAACTAAAACAAAAACATTTTCTTTTCTTTCTTTTGTATATGAACACTATTAGTGTTCACCATGACTAACAGCTGGGACTGGATCGGGACTGTCCAACTGGTGGTCTGTGAGTGATTAACATGTGGCTGGGGGGGGTTGTGTGCTGCTTGCACAGCCTGTGTGGTGGGGGAATCTTTGGGAGATGCCCAAGTGGTATGTGGTCTGAGGGCTGCCTGCTGGCACTGCATGTGACCCCCAACCCCGGCAAATTGAATAGCTCTGCACTAGGTAAAGAATAACAGGCAGACACTGAAGAGCTCCTGTCTCACTGTTATGAGTCGCAAGAAGGAGCTGAGGGACGGCTGGTTTTGCTCTGCTCTTTATGTTCATAGGTGGAAGGGCAGCATGAAGATGTATAGGGCACAGTTACAATGCTGGCATGCACTGTTGGCCAAATGAATCCAAAGTCACGTGCATGAGATACATAGGGATCACGGATGAAATTCATATGATCAGTAATTGTTCTTTTTGTAGTATAACTCTGAAAACAATCTTTGAACTGGGCAAGAGGAGAAAAAGGTGACTTAAACAACAAACCCAGTACAAACTGTTCACTGAAGCCTGGGGCTTTACATAGTATGGGGGAACATATATAAATGTACAGGTTAGTAACTGAAAAAGGGGAGGTGGAGGTAGATATCCAGAAAAATACTGTACACGGATGAGCCCATTTAGGAAGCAGATATTTGCAAATGGTATCTGATAAGCTCAAAGCTTAAAAAAAATAAGTCAGCTGAGCCAGTTATGACACAGTTCGCTTACATGGTTTTACTGATCAACATTATTCCAGAACTTGGCATGATTTAAGCACTCATTTTCACTTGTACATTTGCTAGAGTTACATTTAAAGTTTTTAAAGGTGAAAATGGTAAGGTTAAGATCAGGGATAGGATTTTTTACCCAGTGAAACCTCAAGGCAGAGGATTAATTTAATCTAAGTGCACATTACAGCCCAACAAACTTATGGCTGAAGTAGATATTATCTTTCTGACAGGCATCCAAATGAATTCATAATATCATATTTACTATACCATGAACTTTTCCTGAAGTAGCAAATGCTATATTTACTGTGTCTTGTCCTTGGTCACAACTATGTTCACCACAATGTCAAAACCCTTTTGAATGAAGCTCATTATGCACAGAGCAAATTAAACACTCACCTGAAGTGGCTTATCTGGTTTTCTAAGAGGGTGGAAAGTCTGTCTTTAATTTCCTCAAACCTTTCTTTCTCTTCAACTGATACTGTTCCAATTCCATCAGGCCTGAAATACAATATACTGATTTAACTTTTTGATCTTTTTTCATATATTTACCATACAAACCAAATCTGTCTGCACCCTTGGTATGCTTTCGTTGATTAAAACTACAGTTTTTGTTTGAACAATGGTGCTTCAGTGTAAAAATGGCCTTACATACATATGTCCTTGGCCCTTGCTGTGAAATATGCACAATATTATTTAATGCCTATGATTAAAGGACAAGACTGCAACTTCTCAAAAATCAACTACATTTAGAACTTAGTTCAGGCTTAATTAGCCACCCTATTTTTCTGTGGTATATCATTACAGCTTTTCCTGTCATCGGCAGCACTGCCAATAACAGCCATGCTTGCCCAATTCAAGGCAATGCACTGTGTTCCTAAACCATTCTCCAGCTGGGTGCTGTTCTTACACATGCAACTGAATATTCCAGTACAACAAGTTAGGACTATTCTTACCTTTGTCCTCCTAATTCCAGCTCTTTGGGTTTTTAAGATGCTCACTCTGCACAAATGTGCTGCCGATTCAGCAGAAAAGCTGACTTCAGTGAAAAAGCCCCCCACTCTAAGCAGGTAGCTCTTGGAATTGCTACACATACCACCAGTCCAGACCTACCAATTCCTAGGATTTTCACTTCAAATGAAGTTTTGCTCAATATAACGGAAGTAGCATGTAAACACATGGCAGCTACCAGAAGAAATCCCAAAAGATGAGGTTCTGTTTTAAAATTCCTTCCTTCCTGATTTTAGTTCTGGTAATGAGTAAATGGCCTTAAAGAGATGCTTTTTTATGGTTGTAATTTATACTCTGGCAAATTGCATTTGAGACTGAACTGAGACTGCAAATGTGAATACTTGCACCTCCAACTTTCTTTTTTCAGGTGCAAAAGTGGTACTTAGAAGTGCAGGTCCTCTGACTGACACCAGCAAGTCCACTTTCTGGGTGCAAACACAAGTGCAGATTTGCTATCAGAGGATGGGAAGCTATGCTTCAGCCATTTAAAAAATATTCCAATAGGCATTTCAAAAGACCTATCAAGTAATATGAATCCCCATAACATGTTGAAACATAATGAAGCAAATACTTGACATAAGAATAAATTACTGTCATAACCATACCTCTACAGGTCTTTCTTTGATCTGCAATGCTCTTCACTGAATATACCTCTATATACAGAGGACTACTGTAAGATTTATGCATTGTTCAAGTCCCACTTAAACCTTCTGTAGTTTTTTAAAGTGGGGTTTAAGCAATGTTTATACCTTGTGCTGGCTCTGTACACAGAAGTAGATTTTGCCCAATGTGGATTGTCAAAGGAATATATACCTTAAGGAAAGGGCACTCATATACTAAATAATGCATAATAGTGACTTAAGCTACAGTGAACAAATATATATAGGTATCAAAGTTCTCAAGTGAATTCCTAATGGAATGAGGTCAAATATATTTACATTTTAGTCTCTATTAACATTTCTTTTAGAGAGCACCTACTAGCTCTTGCTGTAAGCAAGGCTATATCAGACTTTCATTACAATCACCTGTTTTCACATGTTTATGATAGATAATTTCTCCTTTTGCTTTGCAATTTCCCATGATTTGTTTAATCTCAGAATTGTAGGTAGGAAAAAATGAACAAACAACATGCCTTTCCATTTTTTTTTTTGTTTTTTTTTTTTTTTAACTGCATACCAGCCAGTGTTACCCCTTCCATAACAGGACTGGCACAGAGTTTTCTTCTTTTGTCGGCAGGGTTGCAGACTTCCCTAGTCAAAGCATGATCTTTCCATTAGTATCCTCTCTCTAACAAAAACTCCTCCTATGTGGGATGGAGGGCCTTGCACCAAGAAGAATTTTACCCCCCCAAGTCTTATTCAAGATCAAAGAGTTGTAACCCCGCTATGCAATAACCCGCATAAGTTCTTGTTATTATTTACTTAGATTGAATACCATTTTAAAAAGTGAATCTCAGTAGAAATAAGGATATAAGGTCACCTCTGTTTGTGCAACTGACCCCCTGCAGGATCCAGCCTGCAGACTGACCTGCCACAGGTCTGGCTCCTTGCCACTTATCTGATGCACAGGGTCAGAAGTTTGAGCACCAAGTGGCATTAATATACTTTAGATAGGCAACAGCAAACTGAAGATGACAAAATATTTTGTATGTAATACCAGAGAAAGGAATATACAGGTAAAATGTGTCCTCCATTTATGCAAGACCAATATAATGAATTTATTACTTATGCTGAAGACTGATGGGAGTATATCAACCTTTCTGCCAGTGCATTTTTTTCTAAATGTTTCAATGGCAATAGGTATCATTAGGCCTTCATATTTATAAAATACTTCATGAAAATCCAAAATAAAGTTGATATAATGAAATAATACTAGCTGGTGAATTCATGAGATTACATTTAGAAAAGTGGCAATTTAAGTTACATTATACTGTATTAACTCAAATCCAAGTCAATCCTGAATTCAAGATGATGCCCCCCTCCAATAATTAGATTCTATATAAGGACTATTTATAATTTGTTATAGTTTTCAAGGTACAGAATCTAATTATCAGAGCACTGTCTTAAATTTGTCCTACCCAGCAGGGAAAATAGTGGTTGGGAGGGTAAGATGGCTGGGAGTGGGGTGGTCAGATGGCCTTCTTGCCCTCTGCTTCATTCCCTATTAGTTCCCCCCACAGCCTTCGTTCTCCCCCAGCCCAACTCCCCACATCATCTGCCCCTCCACTCCCACACCCTACAGTCTCTGCCCCTTCACCCTACTTCCCAGTCTCTGCCCCTTCCCCTCCTCCTCCCCTTACTGTCAGATCCTGCTGAGCTCTGTTCCTTCCTGGAGTACAGCATGTGAAATCACAGCCCCCACCAGAACTGCTGATTGACTGGGCAGGAGCCATGTAGTAGTGTCAGTGCTGCCAGACAGAGGACAGAGCAGTTTACATGTACTCTGTGCCTGGGAGGGAACCCATCCTGAGCTGAAGCTAAGCTGCACCTGACAGTAAAGGGGGGGAAGAGTGCAAGTGGGTAGAAGCTGCAGAGGACAAGAGGGGGCGCGGAAACTACTGTGGTTCTGACTCTGGCCCTGACCCAGGCCCAGAGTCCAAGCTGCAGCAGTTGCCTGGCCCTGCCTCCTCCACTTGCTATGCAAATCTAAGATGCTTCATGGGCGAAGAACCCCAGGAGGCGCCCTCCAAATCAGAGTGGCAGAAGGTTCCCTCCACAGCCAGGGCTGCTCATGGCAGTGCAGTATCCGCTTCCCCTGTTCAGCTGGGAAACAGGTATGAGGCCCTGGTGATGTTGGAGGAAGAGGAAGGAGAGGAGGAAACCTCTGGAGATGAGGCTATTCCATGCACAGAACAGGCTGAAGGAGGCAAATTGATGCAGAAGAAGAGATGTTGGGTGCTCATCATGGGTGACTCCACCCTGAGAGGAACAGAGGGTCCCATCTGTCGCCAGGATCCCATGACACATGAGGTCTCCTGTCTGCCCAGAGTGTGGATTCAGGATGTGACGGAGATGATCCCAGCCCTTATCTGGCCCACTGATTACTACCCCATGGTCCTACTCCATGTGGGCACTGATGATGTGGCCAGGAGCAGTCCAGATCACCTGATGAAGGAATACAAAGCTCTGGGGGACAAGCTGAAGGAGACAGGGGCACAAGTGGTCTTCTCATCTGTCCTTCCAGTGAGCAGATGTGGATGACGCCATGAGACCCGCATCAGGGAGATCAACTTGCGGCCTAGGAAATGGTGTCTTTGGCTTTTTGGACCACGACCCATACTTCAGAACAAGAGACATGCTGGGATGGGATGGGCTTCACCTCTCCCACAAAGGTAAGCATGTGTTCTCTTTCAGGCTGGCTGATCTCCTCCGGCAGGCTTTACACTAGGCTTGTTGGGGGAAGGGGAGGATGAGGACGGGGTTTGCCACGGAACACCGAAGCAAGAGACACCCACAAGAACAGCCCAGCCAAAGCAGACTATGAGCACAAGCAATACCCAGGTAAGACACAGGGGGTCTTGACAGTCCTGGGATTAGTGGGGCGGTGCATACACCCTCAGGAGGCCTTAAATACCTCTACACTCATGCTTGTAGTATGGGGAAAAAGCAGGAGGAACTTGCCCTCCTGCTAGCTAACACAAACCCAGACATAGTGGGGCTCAGTGAAACTTGGTGGGATCCAACACATGCCTGGGGGTAAACATCAAGGGGCTATAGGATGTATAGGCGGGATAGAACAGGGAGGAAAGGTGAGGGTGTGGCGCTCTATGTCAAAGAGCAATACATATCCTCAGCAAACAGCACTGGGTCAGAGGAGGGGCAGACAGAATTGCTCTGGGTCAGAATACAAGGGGGTCAGGGGGAAAGGCACTTAACGGTGGGGGTCTACTACAGACCATCCAACCAGGGGGAAGAGCTGGACCAGGAACTCTCAGGTCAGCTCACGGAGGCAGTTAAGTCAAGGGACGTGGTCATCATGGGTGACCTATACTATCCGGACATCTGCTGGGAAGAGCAGTCAGCCAGGTCTGACCGCTCACATAAGTTCCTAACCGAGTAACAGGACCTCCATCTAACCCAGGTGGTGCACAGTCCCACCAGGGGAAACGTCTTGTTGGACCTGGTCCTGGCCACAGGCGATGACCTGGTAAGGGGAATGCGGGTTCTTGACCACCTGGGCGATAGCAATCATTGCCTACTGGAATTCACCATCCAGCGCAGGGTGGCAAAGGCCTGCAGCAGCCCTGGACTTCAGGAAGGCAGATTTCAATGAGGTAAGGAGACTAGTCAGGGAGGCGCTGAGGTCCAGGAGTGGAGGGGATTTGGGAGTCCAAGAAAAGTGGTCGTTCCTTAACGAGACGATCCTCCAAGCCCAAAGGGTGACAATCCCAACATGGATCAAAGGAGGCAAGAGGGCTCAAAAGCCCCTGTGGCTCACCAAAAGCATCCAGGAACATCTCAAAGCTAAAAAGGAGGCAAACACCCAATGCA